TTATCCACTCGTATCTGAGATCAGGGCTTTCTTGGTTAATGGTGGGTAAAGTAAAGGCGAACCTATGAGTGTCCTCTGGATGCAGGGGGATTGAGAAGAAACAGTCTCTAAGATCTATAACATAAACTGGCCAGGACTGAGGGATGGCTGAGAGAGCTGGCAGCCCCCTCTGGACCGCCCCCAGGGACTGCATCTGCGCGTTGACCGCCCTTAGATCATGGAGCAGCCTCCACTTGCCAGACTTTTTCTTAATTATAAAAATGGGGGTGTTCCATGGGGAGGTTGACGGCTTAATGTGTCCTAATCTAAGTTGTGTACTGACTATTTCTGACAAGGCTAATAGCTTCTCCTTAGGCAGGGGCCACTGAGGTACCCAAACCGGATCATTTGACCTCCAGGTGATTTTGATCGAAGTGGGTAGGAGAGCTTCTTCAGCGGCCCCTAAGAAAAACCCAGCCCTTGCCTACCTTTTTTGTTCTCTACTGGTATTGGGGATGTCCGACCCTGTAGGGCATTGCCCAAGCCTTTGCCGGGGGTATATCCCTGGTTCCTGAGTATATCCTTAGCCTGGGGGGAGCAGTTTGACGTAAGCGTGACATCCATCTGAGTGAGGATGTCCCTTCCCCATAGAGACACTGGCAACTGCAACACAAATGGTTGGAAATGGCCCTGATGACCCTCCTCATCGCACCAGAGCAGGGTTGAAGCACTAACCTGAGGAGCTGACACCATCCCCAGGCCCTGCAGCGTGTTATCTGCAGTGTTGGTGGGCCAGTTGGAGGGCCAATCCTTTCTAGAGATAATGGAACGGTCAGCTCCTGTGTCTAGGAGCCCTGTTATATTCTTGCCATTGACCTTAAGTGAGAGCATGGGCCTTTTATCAAGTATTATATGGAGTCCCTCGAAGACTTCCCCTGAGGAACCGAAACCTTGACTTTCTCTAATTTTCTGCTTTGAGGGGAATCTCTTGTGGAGACTGGGGAGCAGCAAGAGCTGCGCTATCTTGTCTCCTTTATTGATTACCATAGTACCCACAAGAGATTGAACCATAATTTTAATGTGTCCTGTGTAGTCTGAGTCTATGACCCCCGGGACTACTATGAGACCCCGAAGGGCCGTGGAGGATCTCCCGATCACCAGACCCACGGAATTTTCGGGTAACGGTCCCTTAAAGGTGGTTTCAACCACTCGAACACCCATATCAGGCACTAATATAAGTCTGGAGGCGACACTGAGGTCCACACCTGCTGACCCAGGGGTGGCCCTTGTTGAAGGCTGCCATCCTGAGCTGTCCTGTCTCTGGGGCGGGGGCCCGCCTGTGAAGGGGGCCCCCTCTGGCCGTTTTTTGGCCCTCTAACATCTCGTCCACAAATACGGTTGCCCTGAGCATCAAAGACCGACCTACACTCCTCAGCTTTGTGTGATCCCCTCTTGCATTGCCCACAAACATATGGTTCTTCATTCCTAGGGCGAGGCCTAGCATCTGTATTGTTTGGGCAATGACGTTTAATGTGTCCTGGCTCCCCGCAGGCAAAACACCCTTTAGCCTTACATTACCCTTCTAACCCGCGAGGTCCCCTCTGCTGTACAGCCGCGGCCAGGAGAGCAGCCACTCCCGAGTTGGAGAGCGGCCCCCCTATCTCTCTGCATATCCTAATCCAGGCGTTGAGGTCCTTGTTCTTATGAGGAGCTATCGCTGCCTTGCACTCCTTTGTACATTGCTCAAAAATCAGCTGCCTTACCAGCGGTCGAGCCACTCCCGGATCAGAAAATATCTTATCGGCAGCATCTTGCATTCAGTCCACAAAGTCAACAAATGGCTCTGTGGTACCCTGAATTATTTTTGAAAGACACAAGGAGGCTGTTCCGGCACCACTTACCTGCTTCCAGGCGCGGAGCCCTATGGCATTGATTTGTTCATAGACAGCGCCGGGGAACTGAGTCTGATCATCAGCGTGCCGACTTTCTCCCATAAGCATTTCCTTGTTCCACCCCCGGTTTCCCCGATTGGCGTTTCTCTCAGCCTGCTCTGCAGAGAACTCTGCGTACCAGGCTCGCCAATCCAGGTAACTACCCGAGGGCAGACACGCCTTTGCCAGCTGAATCCAGTCCGCGGGGGTGAGGGGCCCAGAAGACAGGTTCTCCAGCATGGCAATGGTGTAAGGCGCAGTCGGCCCAAAGGTTGTAACTGCATTTTTAAGTTCTCTAATCTGCTTTATCTCAAAAGGCTCCCATGCATTACGTCCCTGGCCCATAGCTACTTGTACAGGAAATATCCCGTAGGGGCCACTATCTATCCCAGGTGGTGGATGTACCTCATGAGACAAACGTCCCCCCTGCCAAAGCTGCCTGTAAAAATACCGACCCGCCGGCGGCGGAGCATAAGACGGCGGCCGTGATTGGGCGGAAAATGGGGGCCCGTGCATCACTTCCTGTTCTGGCGAAGGGGAAGGGAGCTCCCGGGCGGCCGCCTCGTGGCGAGGGATCGCTTCCGGGAACAGCCCCCAAGGTGGGGCGGAAGGCTTCGCCTCCCTCTCGCGCCGGGGAGCGCTCAGGAGCTCCCCACTCCTCCGCAGACCAAGTTGAGCGGAGCGCAATTCACGGCGCAACGCTGGGAAAGAACCCTGCGACTCCTTATCGAGCGACTTAGGCTCCTGACAGCTGGTCTCTTTGGCCTCCTTGCCATTCAACTTTCCCTCGTCCTCGGAGTCAGACGACTCCGAGGCTAGAGCCCCGTCCTTCTCCTTAGCATCTTTGTTCCCCTTGACGGGCCCCTCTCGGGAGCTCCCTGACTGGGCCTGCTCAAATACCCTGCGTACTTTTGTAAGCTCTTGAGAGCTTTCTCCACAACCACCCTCGCTCTTAATGTTACTACCTAGCATGTTTCCCATTTTTTAATATGTTACTCACCGCATGAGGCCCAAGGAATCCGCCACTTACGCGTGAGCCTGAGGGGAGTCTAAAAGCCCTGTAGGTGCGCGCCACCCAGGGCCCAGGCTTATCCCCAACTCACCTGTCTCGCAGCTCTGTACTGGAGCGTTGTCCGCTGTCACGTCTCGGGGGTGATCAGTCCCCGTGCGGGCCTCCAAATGTCGATGTCGCTCCCGGCCGGCAGGAAGGACACACGACAAAGTCTGGCAGTGGACAACCTTTTCTTTTATTTTTCTTCTCCGTACAGCCTGCCCTGGGATCGCTCCCAGCCGAAGCCTCCTTTGGTCCGCTCCCCGCGGCTCCTTCTGGGCTTCTACTTCCGGGCTTCTCCTTCCCCCCAGGGGCGGCACCAGTATATATATAGATACAGTGTCCAATCATGTTAAAGTGAGCAAGGCAAGCTGATTGGCTAACATCATCAGTTGCCAGGCAGACTATATTGTTGAGCGGGTTGCTTACGCGGTAAGCAGGAAACTAACGTGCTCGATGGGAGGGGTAATCTACCTCAGGCTTTACTCTTTACTACAGGCCTCACGTCCGCCAAGTGAGGCGACCGGGCTCGGGGCTGCGGCTCCCAACAGCCCCCAACTAAATAACCATGATGCCTGGATGTGGACAGCGGCAGTGTGCACATGTAGCATGGGCCTTGTGCTGCAGGAATAAGCAAACCTATATTTCAGTGGTTTAGCAAAATAAAACTGTCTGTTGCTTAGGCTGCATGTTGAAGCTACAAGGCTGTTGGGCCTGTGAATGCAGGCTAAAGGGCAGAGCTATCCAGGTAGGAGTTGGATTGGGTATTCCTATTGGTTGTATCTAAAGCTCTTAGCCTGCTGCTGTAACAGCATACCTTAGACTGAATAATTTGCAATTAATAGAAATGTATTTGGCCAAGAATGTAACTCAACAGTAGAACACTCACCCAGATATGAGGCCCTGGGCTCCTTCCCCAGCACTGATAGGAAGGAAGAAAGGAAAGGAGAAAGGGAAGAAATGTATTTCTTACAGTTCTGGAGGCTGGAAAACCAAGATCAAATCGCTGTAGATTCAGTGTCTGGTGTGTAGGGCGTGCTGTTTCTCTCAGCACCCTCTACCCTGCTGCCTTCATGGTGGAGCCAGCCACCCTCTGTAGCCTACCATTGCTTTCCACTATTCTCCTCTGTCCTCTGACTGCTAGTCACCCACTGTGTTACCAAATCACTGGACACTTGATGCTACTAGCAAGCTTTGGGGTCACCAGCTCCTTGTAACCAGCTCAGCTACTCTGTGAAACTGCTTTTAATAGGGTACAGGGAAACTGCTGACAAAGACAGAATGGTTGGCAAGTATGTGCGGTGACCTGATAGTGGCTCAAGGACCCTCTGTTTGGCCATGGGTAGGGAAGGGTCTCTTCACAGCCTGATGATGCCTGATGCTGCTGTAGGGGAAGGAGTCATCCAAGCTGGAACCATTCGAGAAGCTTGCTGCCTCCAAACCAAAAGTCTCAGAGTTGCTCGAAAGCATTTGTTGCAGCTGTAACCAGCTGTGAGGCTTTTGGAGTAGCTGTAGCATCAAAGAAAGAGGAATAAGCCTGATGTGGTAGCACATTACTAAGTCCAGTATTCTGGGAAGTTGAATTTGAACCCAGCCTGAGCAATTTAATTACTAACAGAAACTCTGTTTAAAAAAACGAAAAATAAATAAATAAAAAGAGCTTAGTATGTACCTCTACAAAGGGCCTGGGTTCAAGCCTAGATATACATACTCACCGTATAGATGTACAGGGTAGGGAGAGACTTGGGGGAATAAAAACTATCTCTGGGAGCCAGGTGTGATGGAGCAAACTTTAATCCCAGGACTCGGGAGGCTGAGGCACAAGGTTGCTGTGAGTTTAAGGCCAGTTCAGGCTACATAGTGAGCTCAAAACAACATAATGAGACCCTGTCTCAAAAAACAAAAACAAAAGCAACTTTCTTTTTCTGAGGAAGATGCAGTTGTGGGTGCAGTGGGTTTTGGTCGCATCCGCTCTTGCCCCTGACTCACTGCTGGTCCCTCTTGCCAAGGAACAAGTTAGTCAGACCCACACTGCTACCATGGCTTTTAAAGATATTGGAAAGACACTCATGGCACCCGAGGTTACAATTCACCGAATTAGGATTAACCTCAGCAGCCATAAAATGAAATTTATGGTGAAGCTGTGTCCTGACTTGATCAGAGGGGCAAAGAAAAAGAATCTACAAGTGAAAGGATTCATTTGCTTGCCTACTAAGACCTTGAGAATCATTACAAGAAAAATGCCCTACTGGGTATGGTGATGCACACTTGTGATCCCAGTACAAGGGAGGCTGAGACAGGAGGCATGCCACGAGTTCAAGGCCAATTTAGGCTACATAAGCAAATTCAAAGCCAGCCTTCACTGCATAGAGAGACTGTTTGAAAACAAACAGACCCCAGAAACACCTTGCAGCAAAGGTTCCAAGACATGGGGTCATTTCTAGATAAGCATCTTTATAAGTGACTTACTGATTTGCATAGTCCTTTTGAGATTGTTAAACAAATTACTTCCATCAGTACTGAGGCAACAGTAAAGGTTAAAATCACCATTGCAGATTCCTATAGCAACTGTTTTAATAAAATGATAATCAATTGTTGGGAAAAAAAAACCCAGAAGACTTCTGGAAAGGTGGTGGAGTAGTGAACAACAGAGAAACAGCCTCTCTGAGATTTGGGGTCCAGATGCTGGAATATAGCAACATGAGGAAGAAAAGAAGGAAGAAAATGGGTCTTTAGAACACAGCAAGGATCTGAAATGAGAATTGAAACCCATAGGGAGAGCCAAAGACAGACACCTTGATGCAGAAAAAGGAGTGGCAAATGGCACTTTTTGCCTGAGCCCTGACTCACTGCATGGGAGAAGTGGCTCAAACCTGCAGATGCATGATGACTATCAGTGATTCCAGAGGTTTCCATGGAGAAACGCACCAGTGGAACAGAGCAGTAGGTACAAGTAGTGAGTTATTCCGGTTAGGACCCCCCAGGAGAGGGTGATTGGCAGGGAGCCTCCTTGGAGAGGAGCTGACTGAGCTTGGAACTTAGAGCAGCTGCAGAATCCACCTAGCAGCTCCTAGTGTCAAACTGAGGCAGAACCAAGTTCAAGTCAGCAAGAGATCAAGTGGCTGAGTTCAAACCACAGGAAACCAATGTGAAGCCAGCAACAGGCACAGAGCTTTGCAGGATGAACAAACTGGGCTCCCGCCTTAGTCAGAAACCAGCCCAAATTTAAATGCAACTAAAGGTTCAGGTTTCCTGGGATCATCCCCTGCCCTACCATAGATGTACCGTTGACTTTCTGGGATTAATTAACATGAATCTGGACTCTACTTGCCCACTCTACCAGTGATGGCAGATATACAACTTGAGGTGCACATTTTTCTTTTCATCTGTCTTTTGCTTTTCTAGTTTTTTGTTTTATTCTTGATTACTGGTTCATGTTTTTATATAAGGGTGAACATGGCATCTATTTTTCTTATTGTCGTTCGGCCTCATTTTTGTTTTTATTTCTTCTTTCTTTCCTTTCTGACTTTTCACTGGTTTCCCAAAGTTCTATAATCTTCCTTTGTCCTCCAGTCTTGTTTCCTTTAAAAATTTTTTTTTCTTATTTTAAAGACAATGAAAGCCATATGTGGTGGCACATACCTGTAATCCTAGCACTCAGGAGGCTGAGGCAGGAAGATTGTTGCAAGTTCAAGATCAACCTGGGTTACAAAGTGATCCCAAGGCCAGCTTGAACACGCAGTGAGACCCTGTCTCAAAAAGCAAAAAATGAATGAATGAATGAATGAATAAATAAAGAGAAAAAACCCAAGCAAAATAAGACAAAATAAAGCCAATCAAAACAAAACAGTGTAAAAACCAGGCATGGTACTGCATGCCTGTAATCTCAGCATTTGGGAGGCTGAGGAAGGGAGGATCACTGTGAGTTTGAGGCTAGCCTGAGCTATGAAGTGAGTATAAGACCAGCCTGAACTGTATAGTGAAACCCTGTCTCAAAAAGAAAACAAACAAAAAGCAGTGTAACTGATACAGGGTTTCAAAACAAGTTAATAAGAAATCAATAATAAGGGACTGGGGATTTAGCTCAGCAGTATAAGCGCCTGCCTTGCAAGCAGGCAGTCGTGAGTTTGATCCCCGGTACCGATAAAAAAGAAAAAAAGACAAAAAAAAAGAAATCAATAATAGCTATCATAATGCCCCTTATTGTCTTCAAAATAGATGCCAATACCATCAGACATAAGAAAATCAAACAGGGGCTGGGGGTTTAGCTCAGCGGCATAAGCACCTACCTTGAAAGCAGGCAGTCGTGAGTTCGATCCCCGGTACCGATAAAAAAGAAAAAGACAAAAAAAAAAAAAAAAAAAAAGAAAATCAAACAAAATAGAATAGAATAGAATAGAATAAAGCAAAACAATGAGTACAATACAGGATTTCAAAACAAGATAATAGTAAATTCAGAATAGCTACCATAATAATGTATCTTGTTATCTTTCAAATAGCTTCCCATGCCATCAGATATAATAAAATCAAACAGGGCAAAACAGAATAAAACCAAACCAAACAAAACAATAAAAATGAAACAGAACTTTAAAACAAGATAATAGGGAATTAACAATGGCTACCACTGGGGCTGGGGATTTAGCTCAGTGGCGTAAGCACCTGCCTGGCAAGTGCAAGGTCATGAGTTTGATCCCCAGTACCAAAACAATCAAACAAAAAAACACAGTGGCTACTACCTTCAGAAGGAAATCCACCATAGGTCCCACACTGTGTATTGTTATCCTCTAAATGGATGGTCAGATTACCAGCTTTAGGTTGCAAAATCAATGAAACACTAACCCCTACAAGCATTAAATAGTATTTTACTTCAAAAGCTATCATCTCAGCCTGTGTTTCTCCCGATCAGCCAGTCACTCATGGTTGGTGGGGAGGACCTTGGGCTGTTCTTGTCTCTCAGCCTGTGCATTGAGAAAGGGGCATTTGGTTGTCCCCCCTGCAGCCCACACATGGTGCCAACTCACAGGAAGTGGCTGGCTTTCTCCAATCTTGTTTCTTTTTTTCTTTTCTTTCTTTTTTTTTTTTTTTTTTTTGTCTTTTTCCTTTTTTTATCAGTACCAGGGATCATCGAACTCACTCACGACTGCCTGCTTGCAAGGCAGGCGCTTATGCCGCTGAGCTAAATCTCCAGCCCCTCCAATCTTGTTTCTAATCTCTTCCTCTTCTGTTTCTCTCCTTAACCTCTTTTAAATTTTTTCCCCTGCAAGGGTAAAATTGGCATATTGACTGTATATTTACTGCATACAATTTTCTAATTTGTTTTAGATTTTGTTATATAATCACAAATTTACTTCATACAGTTAAAGGTAGCAAATTAATAATAACCAGTTTGTCTTTTCCCCATGTGTTACGTGCTGTTATTATTATTGATTGTACTACTTTAACCAAGGTGACATAATTTTGGAGGGAGGTTTGGAGGATCAAACTCAAGTTCACCAGGCAAGTACTTAAGCCACTGAACTAGATCCCTGGCCCCATAATTTTTCCAATAAGATTTTCTTTCTGGTATTTAAAACTGAGATTGCCTAAAGGTCATAAAAAATTCTATAAGTGAGCACCAAAGAACCAGGGACTGGGCCAAATAGGCAGCAACTTCTCATCCCCAATAAATTGAAGAAGTAGGATCTTGCAACAGACTCAAAACTCAAAAGTCAGTGGGAAGTCACTTCCTATGGGTTCTAAAAACTAGCAATAAACTGAGCATGCTGGTACATACCTGTAATCCCAGCACTTGGGAAGGTGAGGCAGGAGGATTGTCACAAGCGCAAGGCCAGCCTGGGCTACATAGTAAGTTCAAGACCACCCTGAACTACATAGCAGGTCCCTGTTTAAAGGAAATAAAAATAGGGCTGGAGATTTAGCTCAGAGGCATAAGCACCTGCCTTGCAAGCAGGCAGAAGGGAGTTCGATCCCTGGTACCGATAAAAAAGGAAAAAGACAAAAAAAAAAAAAAAAACAGAAAATGAGAAGACATTTAAGCAAGATGGAACCCCAGACCTCCAGCTCACAAAGACAAACCCAGGGTGGAACAATGAGGTGGAACAATTCAAAAGCTACTCACCTGGACTCTGAGTGGTAACAGCAGAACTAACAAAGGAGATACATCAGGCTCTAGAAAAAAATCAAATCAGAAATAATTTCTCAGATAACTCCAGAGAAAGTGACCTTAATGAAAGGTTAGTGACCCTAGGGCAGATACAGATTTCTTTTCTCTTTTTGAGATAGGGTATCACTATGCAGTTCAGGCTGGCTTGGAGCTCACTTTTTTTTTTTTTTTTTTTTTTTTTTTGTACTGGGAATCGAATTCAGGACCTCATGCTTGCCAGGCATGTGCTATGTGGCTGAGCCATATCCCCAGGCCCTTGAGCTCACTTTGTAACCCAGGCTGGACTCAAACTTGCAAGGATCCTCCTGCCTCAGTTTCCCAAGTGCTGGGATTACAGTGGTGCATCACCATGCCTGGCTTCACATTTTTTAAAATAGAAGAGTTTAGGAAAATGATGGTAACAAATGTTCAACATAGGAAAGAAATGGAATCCACAAAACAGATTCAAACAGATATTCAGGGAATTAAACATTCCATTGAAAATGTATGTAACAGGGGCTGGAGATTTAGCTCAGGGGCATAAGCACCTGCCTTGCAAGCGCATGGTCCAGAGTTAGATCCCTGGTACCAATAAAAAAAAAAATATGCAACAGAATGAGCCAATGTGAAGACCAAATTATCAGGTATGGAAGATAAGATGACAGTTAACAATAATGAAAAGAAAGATTTCTTTAAATTAGCAAGGGACCATGAGGAATTAATCCAACAGCTGCTGGATGAGGCAAAAAAGAATAACATAAGATTGATTAGAGTCAATGAAAAAGCAGGAGATAGCACAAATAACATAAAAAACCACAAATGACATTAAAAAAAAAAGCTGCTCATATAAGTAATGGTAGAAAACTTCCAAAGCATGGAAAAAGAATTTGACATGAAGATAAATGAGGCATGCAGAACTCTAATTAGCCATAGTTTTAAAATCTACATCAAGGCATATAATAGTCAAGATTCCAGAAATTCAACCTAAGGACAAAATATTAAAAAACTTTTAAGGGCTGGGGATTTAGCTCAGCGGCATAAGCGCCTGCCTCGCAAGCAGGCAGTTGTGAGTTTGATCCCTGGTACTGATAAAAAGGAAAAAGACCAAAAAAAAAAAAAACTTTTAGATAAAAGAAACAAATTACCTTTAAAACAATGACTTTTTTTTTGTACTAGGGATCGAAATCATGACCTCATGCTCACCAGGACAAGTCTAATGCCCACTAAGCTAAAGACCCAGCCCCACAGCTGACTTCTTAACACAAGCCTTGAAGTCAAAGAGAGCTTCGGGTTAAGTATTTCAAGATCTAAAAGAAAACAACCTCCAGCCCAGATTGATGTAACCTGTAAAACTATCTTTCAAAATTGATGGAGAAACCAGGCGTGGTGGCTCACACCTGTAATCCCAGCACTCAGGAGGCT